TCTTAGCCCAAATCTTTAACTTTGTGTTTAGCAGAGTTATGGGCCTACAGTCATCTAATTCCCGCCCAACACCCTTGCCCTTTTTCAACAGCGTAATTACACCCAGGTGAACCGGGGACGTTGTTGAACACGACAGTCAAAATCGGGACAAAGATGTGCGACAGCCTCAAGTACAGTTCATAGGGCAAACCATCCAGCCCGGGCGACTTACCTCTGCCGACCATTTTCAATGTCGCGTAAACTTCACCCTCCGTAATCCTGCCCTTGTAGCTAGCCGCTTCAGTCGGCGAACGCTGAGAAAAGTCAGCCAAATAGCTGCGAAACTCGTCAGGCTCCTCAAACCTGACTCCTTGGTAAACCGGCTCTCGAAATGCCGCCGAAACGCCACGCACATGTCGTCAGTGGCCCGAAAGTATACCCCTCCGGGGTTTTGACTTCACGAATATAGCGACTGGAACCTCGGTGGATCTTTTCCTTGCGCAATTCTGCGTCCATGTTTATCGCTTCGGAAGACATCTTGCTTAACCTATGTCTAATTACTTGGTCCATGCAGCGCTCGCTAGTCAAACGCTCCAGGGCCTCCCTAGCTAAGGCTATCTCTAGGGGACCCCTCACCCCAGCCACCACCTAGCCTTAAGCGTCTTCACCTTGTCAGCTCTATCTAGGGCAAGCCGCTTGCTGAACTCAGTGGTTAAGGACCTAATAATATTTTCTATTTTTAAGTTTCTCCCACCACCTATTACCGATAACCGCCCCCACTAGCTCCCGCTGCTCGTGGAAATCCTGCCTGTCCAGTAAAGACAGATTGAACTTCCAGTACCCAGCCATTCTAGGCCTACAAATCTAACGCCATCCGAGCACAAACGAGTTTGTGGTCCGAATAGCCTACCCAGTGAAACGTGGAACAATCTAACAAGTCTACGTCGGCTCCTCTAACATTCTATCCAAGTAGCTAACCACCCGGGTAGAAGGCCAATTAAGAGCCCACGTCCACATCTTCCCGAGGTGATCTATCCACCCGTATCTATCGACGAGACCAAACTCTTCGATCAGATCAACGAAGCCATGATCGCCTCTTCACCGCTAGCTCCCCGCCCCCTATCTAACTTGGGGTCCAGAATGGCATTCTAGTCCCCCATTAAGACTAGGTGCATTGAATCCACCAGGAATGGCCCCAACCGCCGAAAAAACGAGACCCGCTCCTCCTGGTCGTTGGGAGCATAAACCGCAACGACTTGGAACAAACCACTTTTCATGGCAATATCGGCAACAATCAACCGATCCTCGGCATCCACATGAACAAAGTCCACCTTCGCATCCAGAATACGTCTAACCAGCAAAAAACTCCTTTGGCATGTCGATCCCCATATGCTGAATAAACGACAAAATCGCTAGACAGCACACACGCATCGACGTTTGCAAACAAAGTGGGATTCTTCGATCGCGACGACATACACCCCGAAAGACAAGAGATCCCGAAGCAGGCGGGCAGCCTTACCCCGATCCCTTCGCATTCTGACTGGCTAACTTGATAGATATCTTTTAAGTCCTGCAATTAGAAAAATAAGAATTAACCTACCCACATAGCGGGCGGAAATCTGCGTCAGTAAGGACTCCGACGGATTGTCCTGGGGGTCTTGTACCTAGTTCCGACGTCATCCGTCTTTCCAGGACAATTCCGTCGACGTTCGTATGTATGTTAGTTTAACACACCTATATAGGTAGGTAAGACAGGGACCATCCTAGCGCAAAAATGTCTTAATTTCTTTATTTAAAGAAATTCAGACATTCATCCAATTGAAACATTCTAATGTTTATGAGTGCTTCTTTGGCCTCAAAAAGATGGCTCCAAACTTTTAGATAGCCTCCTGTGTCTCTCATACAGATGACTACCCCAGGAGCATCGGGGAAATTTCTGGGGTCCTCAATGGATTTCTCATCTACACTATTCATCAAAAGACCTGGTAAGGACTTTCTTTGGTTCGAAAGGCCTTTTTTTTTTGACTTGTTCAACGTCTACTTTGCAAATTCTTTTCTTCTTTTTCGTGCCAGGGAAGAAGTGGAAGAGTGAGAGGGAGTAGATAATGAACTGGCAGTGGAGGTGGAGGGAGATGGGGATGGAACTCGAGTAGGTGAAGCTGGGAGGCTCCTAGCTTTCTGCAACTTGTTCTATTGTTTCTTTTGGTGAAACCGGTACCGATAGAGACCTGATTTTTGGTACACTTCTCTCCGCCCGCCCTACTTCGCCCAGCACGTTTTTCCACCGGTTTTTCTGCGTCTTCATCCTCTTCTCTGGTTCTCGTCAAAGAATAGCGAGGGGGGGGCGGGCATTTGCTCCACCTCCATCTCTTCTTCAGTTGGCTGCTTCTTGTTCGATTGCTGTTTTTGTTGCTGTTTTTGTTGTTGCTTTGCTTATTTGGGGAATTTCTTTTGTTGCTGCTGCTTCTTCGCCTCCTCGCACCGCTCCTGCCGTTTCGGCAATTGCGTGACTTGCCGTTGAGGAAAGGGTGGGTTTGTTATCTCCCCCTCTTCACCTCAGTCCAGACACACTGGAGGCCTTTTCTTTTTCTACTACAACTGCTGTGGGAAGTGTATTTTTGTAGGCTGTTCAACCTTCTTCCCAGGGCACGCCTTTGCCATGTGCCGCATTGCACCCCACATGACCAACAACAGAGCCTCCTACCTTATACACAACGAGCATTCTTTTGTCCCGGCATGTCAAAAATTTGTGAGGTCCTGAAAACTGTCGGGTGAAGACCAGATGTAGAACGATGTCTCCGGTTGTGATGCCAGTTTTGCTGCGTAGAGCACTCACTTCATCTACCTGTCCATACTTCCGAAAGAACGCTCCCATTCGATCTTCACAAATGTCCACCGGTACGCCATGCACTGTTATTTTCGTCTTTCTTGTTCCCATATATTCGGTCTGGAGTCGCAATGAAGACGTTGACAGGATACTTCCTGTAAACTGCTTGGCTTCTTGCTCTGATCTGAGAAGAAGGCCCCACATCGCATTACTTCTCCTTGCCAAAACTTTGGGCATAATTGAGCCTTTTTAATGTCTCTTCCATGCTTTCTCTGCTGACCCCAATGAGTTTACAACTCTTTACATCTGTGGTCTGCAAAGATATAATTTTGGCATTGACCGCTTCCAAAGCCTCCGGAATAGCGAGGAACTCATTCCCTTGCAGGCATTTTTCGATTTTTACCCGCTGTTTCTCGTAATAGGCCGAGTCTTTTTTCTTTGGCCCGCTCTCCGACCAGGCCATTTTTTTCGCTAGTGGCGTATTTTCAGTTTGCACCGGCAGCGTATTCAAATTTTCGCTCATGGTGGCCGATAGCCACCACGGCTGAACAAATAGAACTTTGCCTGTTATCTATATATTATTATTTTTTATGCAGACATAAAAGGCAAAACAAAAATTGTGAACAACCAAATAAAAACAAGAACGTGGAAAAATAAAACCAATAAGTACGTAATTTGTGTGATGTTACGTTTGTTGCGGCGCATAACAGGGTTCGAATAATGTTCAGGTTTTCTGGGAGGAGGTTTTCCCTGTCGGTGATCGGGCTCTTTCGATTTGCGGCACAGCCAAATGAATGATTTTCCAAATGATGCCATTGTATTTTTCGCACTGCCCATTGCCTTAGGGATTATACAGTGTATTCTGACTTACAGACACCCCTTAGCCGTGGAGAAATTTCCTAAGTTGTTCTAACATGAACGACGTTCTTCAGTCTGAATGGGTATATGTTGGGACTCCAAAAAGGCGAACAAGCGGCACAGACATTTTATTACCGAGTTTGCGCATGGGAATGCGAAATGTAATCTCTAAAACCTTCTGATTAGAGTAAGCAGGTATCTGTTTCTTGTTTTAGATTTTAGGAGACCTTTGATGTCCACATTTAGCCTTTCGAAACGTTGAGTGGCTTCTATAAGGTCTTCCGGTGATGGCCTATACAATCGTTGCTTGTATTCAGCCCAGATTCGGAAGAATATTATAACCTTGATCTCCTCAACATAGTAAGGTAAATTTTGGCTTCGTACTACGTGTGTCATTCTAGTTATACCCGGGTGGCATAGTTCATTATGTAATGTTGGGAGATCATTAGAACTTGACACAGCACTACTAACTCTCGATAATGCGTCTACCGCAGAATTTTCTTTGCCAATAAGTTATATAACATTGAAAGAGAAACAAGGGCACTCAATTTTCCTTCGTGCTATTTTTTCGTTTTTAATTTTACTTCTTGATGCTGAATATGTGCAAGAACCTAGTGACAGCAGTGACAATAGTGACTTGGACGATGTACCTCCAAGAAAGAAAAAGAAAGTAGTGCGTGTTAGCCCTGCCTTGCCTGTGGTAGGCCCTTCTAATGCACCTGATACTGCCCCTGTTGCTGGCTCTTCTACTCCACTTGCTGATGCCCCTGCTGCACCCCGTGGACAACGACGACGTATTGTACCTCAAACAGATCGTGATGAGCTCATTGTAAGCTTCGACACAGCTACCATTAGATCTAGAAAAGGCTTTATGTGGGAAACTAGGCCGAATGCAGGAGCAGTACGTACTCCTGCAAGAATTATATTACATGGTGTCTGGTCTGGTCTGGTTCCTCCCAACAAGCTTCCCAAGCCGACATCCCAGAGAAGTGTTTCTCTTTGTTGTTTGTGGATGAAATCATCAATGAAATTGTGCAGTGGACCTACCAAAAATTAAACATTTACGCAGCAAAATACAATCATATGAAGGGCAAAATACAACCTACAACACCTGAGGAGATACATGCCATGTTTGGGGTCCTCATTTTTAGTGGCTACAGGAGAGACAACCACCTCTCCACTAAGGAAGTCTGGAGCCCTAAAGTTGGTTCCAATTTCTACAGTGCAGCTATGTCTGAGGGGCGCTTTACTTTCCTCCTCAACTGCTTACGCTTTGATGATTCTAATACCAGAGAACAGCGAAGAGGAACCGACAGGTTTGCCCCCAATCAGGAAGATGTGGGATACTTTCATCGAGGCCTGTGGCATCCATTATATCCCACACGATTTCCTTCCTGTTGGTGAGCAGTTGCTTGCCTTCCGTGGCCGCTGCCCCTTTCGCATGTACATCCCAAATAAACCAGCGAAGTACGGTATCAAGATCGTCATAGTAAATGATGTCAAGAACAAGTACATGCTGTCAGGGATCCCCTATCTTGGAAAGCAAGAGACATGGGCAACAGACATGCAAAACCTTGGCTACTCCTTCACCAAGGACCTGACACAGCTCTACCACAACCAACAGGAATGTAACAAACGACAATTGGTTTACCTCTGTGCACCTCATCCAGAATATGCTGCACAATTGTGGAATGACGCGGATTGTGTCAGTCAGTGGAAACAAGTCAGAGATACCAGAAGAGATGAAGGACAAGACCACACGGGCTCCAGGTTCCAGTGCCTTTCTGTTCACAATGGACATGAAACTTGTGTCGTATGTGCTCAACACCCCTTCCAGCAAGAAAATTGTCCCCCTCATGTCTTCAATGCATGGAAATAAATCCTTGGCCATCCAGGACTATAACAGGATGAAAGGAGGAGTGGACACTTTCGACCAAATGTGTGGTCAATATTCGTGTGGCAGAAAGACCAAGAGGTGTGTATTTTATGGCATGCCTCATTGCTGGGGTCATCAACTCCTGGATCATCCATGGGAGAAATATGCAGAAGACAGGTGGAAGACAGATGAAGAGGAATCAGTTTATGTAGGTGTTGGCTGAGGAACTGGTGAAACCCTGGGCAGTGCATCGCCTCTCAAGTCACATTCTGCCGAGACAGTTCAAGGATCATATATGCACTGTTTTTGAGCTGCCCACTCCCCCTGGACCTTAAAGAGTTTCTGTCCCACGAAGGCAGACGAAGGCAGACAAAAAACACGCTTCAGGTGTGTGTCCTGTCAACGAGCTGTGTCCCAAACACTATTACACCATGTGTAGCAACTGTATATGAGGCTGAGGTAAATAGAAATGCACCTGAAGACTTTATTTACTTGTACATAACAAATAAATAGTCAGTTGCTACAGTCATTTTAGTTAAAAAAATTATTAGTGTAAAAAAGTGCTTTTTTATGGTAGATAAAATAAGGCTCTTTCCCACGTCTCGTCCCTACAGAAGCCGCAGCAGATCGGGACCAGTACCCCACTTCAGTAGTGACTCACAGGACCTGGAAAGCCGTATGAGGAGTTTGGAAGTCATCAGAGGATAAATTTTATTTACTTTTTTAATTCTGAAAAATTTTCCTATTTTTAATTACAATTTTCAATACCTGATTTTCTTACCTAAATAATATGATTTTCAGTTCCTATTAATGTTAACTCAAAGTACAAAGTTTGAAGTGTCTGCATGTAAAATATTTCAAATAAAGATTTATATTTAATATTTTCTTTGTTATTTTCAAAATCGGGTATGATATACCCATGGTTAGTAGTGGTGTAAATTTAATTGATGTTTAGTGTTCTAGGGTTAAAAAGTGTTGAGCGAAAACTTTGCTTTTAGGCTTGACGTAAATTTCGTGCAGTAAGTTTATAACTCTCTCGCAAGAAGTGGAGTCTTCTGTAGAGAGCGAGGGAGAGAGAGTTCGCTATCACCCTTATCTTGTCTATTTGTCGGTGAGGTTGCTCCTCTAAGAGTTTCTACGAAGTTTTCGAACGTTAAAATCCAATGGTTCTATCGCTCAGTAGCTGTAATATGGCCAGGGTCGACGTCGACTTTTTTCAACTTAAAATGTGTCTGATTGGATTTATTTAAATACAAAATTCGTATAAGGGGAGATAATCAATACCATAGATGTTAGAAATTCATCTTTTTGGGTTTTATTCATAATGTTAATGTTACCTATAAGCAAAGATTTCTGCACAAATTCTAGAAGTAGTAAATTTAAGAAAATTAAACATGCACGCACACACAAATGATGTGGGGAAAATAAAACAAAATAAACCTTATATTTTCCGTCTTTTGTGGGGTTACTCCTCATCAAACCAATACTCTGAACATCTGTGTCAATTAGTGATGCTCGATGCAGGTGAAAATTTTATTATAGGTGAAAGGGAGGGTTGTTTGGAATAGTTTTTCTTTTTTTGGTGTAGATTTAATGATATTACTTTTGGAAGATCTATTTTGGAGATGACTCTCAGCCTCAATTGGCCGATAGTCATTTATTTTTTTTCTTTTCTGCTTTTATTATTAATTAGTTTTCTAATCGCTCTCTTAAATTTTTGTGTTTCATTAAATATGGGTTCATTTATTTTTCATGTGTCGGTATTGTTGAATAGTAAATTAATTTTATCATTATGTGTGTTACTATTCATAACAACAATCCCAAGTGTCTCGGTGGTAAAGTTCATTCATTACTCGTTTCTATAATGGTGATAATATTCCATGACCTTTAATGACTGAAACACAAAAAATTAATAGAGCGATTAAAATCTATTAATAACAAAAAAAATCCTGATATAAACTAATAGAATATTATCCTAGAATACTTTTTGTATGAGCGTATATTGGTTCTACTTGTTTTCTTGCCAATGAAACTAATCTATATTGTCGTTTCTTTAACATACTTAGTTGTTCTCTGTTTATTTTCCCCGGATTACTACAGCCATGACACCTTTTTAAAAAGTCTTGGAGACTGTTAGTGATAGTCAGGTACTTTAGACCTTCCTTCCGCCTTTTCAAGCCACCTGCTATTGACTATTGTGAAAATGCCAACACTTTTTTCAGTGATAAGGGCGATGCAGAAGGGATAAGTTTAAAGTGTTTCACAACTGTGCTTTTATTTTTTTGGATCGTGGTGGTTGGTAGATCTTTGAGCGAACTCTTTTGACTGATGAGCTTAGAATGATTTCTGTGTTTGGACGACTAGCGTTGAAACCCTGACCAACTTGTCCTCAGAGACAATGCGCTGCTTATCGTTAGTTTCCAGCCCTCCATGTTCGAAATTTTGGGAATGGCGGTAAAGGCTTTTCTGTCGTCGGTCAAATAGAACCGTCATTCCTCATGCACACGATTAGAGGAAATAACCACGAAGTTCCCAAAATTATGGCAGATAAGTAACCCAAATTTCCCAAAAAACAGTAAAGACACTTCAGATTTTCAACTTTTCCATTTTTCAATACGACCTTTCGTGTACAAATCTGGATGAGATAAAATCAATCTTTTTGTGGTAAGCAACAATATTTCCCACTGAGTCATTTAAGTGCTTTCAATGCATTGTTTTTTTTTTATCGATTTCATAATCTTGTTGTTCTTTTTTATCAATAATGAAGACAGACACTATTCTTTGTCGGGTGGTCTTTATTTCGAGCAAATCAATCAAAAGTCGACTCTCTTTTATAAGATGACTAATTATGGACTCCTTGTATGAACTCCATTACGTCGCTTGTCATACAATGAGGAGATTATCAAGAATGTGTCGAGGTTCTACTTGTCATGTCAGGCACCTGCGTATCAGGGCTTTGAAATAAGATGAGAAAGGTATAATATGAATGTTGTTGTTGTGCTTATAGTAGACGGAGCACTTTTATCAAAAACGCTAGAGGCAAGAATAGATGAATTAGTAATTTGAAGAAGAGTTGCAATTGTCCACACTACATGTATAAATGGAGAAAATGTCGAACATAAATCATCATAAGACCGTTTTTCATGTTCAAATCTTTAATGTATATATATATATATATATATATATATATATATATATATAAATGCTAACAAAGCTTAAGCCTAATTTGTCAGTATATGACGTTTCAATGGTTTGTTATAATACAGCAAAATGTCAATGACTACAATAAGTGAAAAGCAAAACATTAAAAAACGATTGTATCGTAATCATACAGAACAAGAAAAAAATTGTTATATTTATGAACAGATATAACAAATTGTATTTAGAAACATTCTTTAAATGCGATCAACAGGTTTCGAGTAACTTAACGAACCTTTATCCGGCCATAGGGGCGTTCAAATCTTGATTGAAATTTAATCGCTTTCATTGACAATAAACGTTTTACAATGATGTCGTTTGTTTTCAGATAGTTCAATTAGTTACAGTTTTTCACTATTAGTCACTATTATCATGCTTATATGCCACAAGGAAGTAAAAGTTTCAGGTCACTGCCATTCGATATTTATTTGCAAACGATATTCACCTTTCTTAAGTCGCATTATGAATATTTTCCAGGGAGTGTTAATTTGAAAATGAAATTGGTGAACTCAGTTGGATTTGATAGTTAGCTTCCTTACTCACGTTTTGTTTGATTTGGATTTGAAGAGGTCTCCAGATGAATCCTCGGTCAGTCAATTCTTATTATGGTCAACCTTGGCTGGTTCGAGTATTTAATTTACTCCAGTAACAAAAATTCATTTGTTTCAGTGTACGTACATACGTGTGCATTCGAATGCTACTTTCACTTATAGAATTTACAATGACTAGATTTTGGAAAATTCAATATAAAGTTGCTCGCAGATAAATACTCTTCCTGACAGAAATATAAAGTTTTTAAATTTATGCTTTGGGCTTCATTTATTACTAATATATTTTCTGTTTCATTTCCATTCAAAATGGTGACTGGATTCGCAGATATTAAGGAAAAATTTGAGCATTTTTATGTCGTCTATGGATTCTAGGTAGGTAGCAGTGGCGAAAGGTGACTTGGGAACCAGGGCATGCAAGTCCATTATGAAGGTCAAGGTGGATTGGGGAAAAGAGAAACTCACTCTGCGCTCCTGAAAAATTATTTACCTCCCCCCAGTCATCTGTGAATGTGAAGTGAACTAATTTTAATGTGAGAAAATACAACTGAGTCCGTTTCAAACTTGATACCCTTCCCCTATAGACTTGATGCCCCCCCTTAATAATACCATGACGACGATGATGACCACTATTGGTTACGAGAGAAAATAAATTAACAGTTTCTCTTTTGATGAGATGCAGACATTTTTATTTTGTATTTTTAAAAATGTTCAAATAAGTTTCTTATCGCTTAATGACAAATATCAGAAAAAGGTGTTGATTCATGACTGTAAATGTGAAAATTTGTAATTTTTACGTAAACTAAATTAATATTGTTTTAATTTAAGTTGTTTTTATTACCCAAATATTCTTTTAAGATAAAGTTCAATCTTTCTTCTTTAAAATAATACCAACATTAATATATGAAATTTTAATTTAAATATATTTAATTTTATTTTAAAATTAGGTATTGCAGTGATTTTTTTAAAATGACCTAAAACAAAATTTAACATGTTTAATGAAATATTATCAAGAGTGTTTTTACATAACTTTTAAAAATAATTATGAACATTTAAAATTAAATCTTAAGGCATTGAAACAGATGAAAACTTTTAATCACAAATAATAATGGTTGCTTTTTTCGCTCTAAGTATGAACTGGTCAAAAACTTTCTGGGTAATGGTCTGAATTCCCTAAAAGGGGTCAAGAATACTCTCCAGTTGTTAAAACTTTTTAAAAGTCAGTAAAAAAAGCACTTTTGATTTGAGACTAAAGTC